TTCTCACCTGATCCTAATATCACCCACTGTGTGTGTGCGATGATATAATACTTAGCCTACTGCACAGGCACGTGCTTGCATACCTGCTGGCAATAAGCCATTACTGCTGGTATTGCTATAAAAAGAGCTCCCCCATGCAAAGAGCAGATCCTCGTGAAGTGAGCAAGAGAACAGGAGAGAGTAGAGCAGAGGCTGAAGGTGAAGGCAGAGCCTGGGGCAGAGGCTGAACTGAGGCAGAGATAAGGTAGACGGGAATCTAGCACTTGACCTACCACCGTGAGAATAAAGCTTGGTTCAAGCTCCTTTTTATACCTAAACATTCTGTTGTCATTTTTCAGTCTCACCACATCCAGAGTGAAACTTGTCCGGGGCTGAAACCCTCAGATGAGACACTGTCTTTGGAACCCATGCCTATGGCTCCCTACTACATACATAATTAAACTTTTTCATTGTTCTCCTGTTAATCTGTCTTTGACAGTTTGATTACTAGACTAGCTAGAAGAACCTTGAGGGCTAGAGGAAATTTCTTCCTCCCCCAAAACTATATATAAAGTAGGAACAATAATCAATAACTACCTTATCAAGCTGCAATAGAGCTTAGTAAAATAATGTAGAGGAAATACTTAGCAAATTTCTAGTATATGTAGGACTCCTTAAGTAACAGGATTAATGATGAAAACACCAAAGTGCTATCATGGAGGACTCTCGAATTAGAAAGACCTGAGTCCAAGTCCCAGTTTTCGTCACTCACTAATGTGTGGCTTTAGATGAATTATTTACCTTTATGAATGAGACTGATTTCTCATCTATAAAATGGGAGTGATAGTATCACTTTGGAGATTGTGAGAATTAAATAATATTGCAGGTGAAAGTGTTTAGCATGGTACCTGGTTATCTTATGTCTTAATATATGTTAATTACCATTTCATTCCTCCTCTCTATTGCTAAAATACATAAAGGTTTATAATTAACTTCTGTTCCATTCAAAGGAGAGAAAAAAGAAATAACACTAAATAAAAAGAGTTACTTATAAAGATAGAATTCCCATATCAGAAACATTTAGGAGAAAAGACATTGAATGAGAGAAATATATCAGCACTAAAAGAATATATACATAACAAACACTGATATCATGGTATTACAAAAATCTCAAGAAATTTTCAATTTGTTTCCAATAGAAACCACAACATGAAGACAAAAGTGAAAAAAGAATTCTGAATTCTAATCTCCTTAAAATGATTTTCTAAAATATTTTAATTAATGTGTTCAACATAACAGAAAAGTGTCTCTCTTTAAAACGTACCATTACATTTATTATATGTCACTTAAAATCTTCAACTTTCGAATTTAAATGAATTCTAGCTATGTTTTCTTATTTTCATGTCTTTAAAAAATACTTTGTTTATAAAAGCTAATATCCTCTGTTTAACCTTGCATTGTTTTTCCATCTTAACTAGTTCAGGTTTACTTGAGTATTCAGACAGTTTTAACAATAACCACCAGATGGCTCATCTCACAAATGATCTTTTAATTTTTGGATTTCTGAAAACAGAATAGCATTCTCATAAATTTCTTTTTGGCATGATATGCTGAAGACTGAATTTATATGTTTATTTTCATATAAATATTCTGCACTTTGTAGCCTGCAAACATAGGAACTTCTATTTTGATAAATATTAACAAGACACTTCCAATTAATAAAACATTTTTCATGCTTCTTTCTACAACTGCATCTTGTTGGAAAAAATGTATATTTCTTCCCTTTGCTGTTGATAGCTATTGCTAGTGTTATTTTTTTATTCTTTAGTCTGAATTTCAATGGAAGGCCTACCAAGTCTGTACCCATTTGATATATAGTATCAAATATTTGAATATAGCAACTGTACCTTATTAGACGGGTTTGCCCTACAGTAACCTATTTGCATTGATATTGGGCAACTGCCAAATTGCACCTTAAGGCCTTGGTTGCAATTCAATTGCTGGACTGCCTGCTGGTTTTCAAAAATAGTTTTACAAAATGGGAACAGTAGGGGGCATACAGAGCTCAAGATGTTTGTTATCATCCTATATTAGGAAACGTTATTTTCTTTCTGGAATCTATGGTCTTATTTATTTACAATACTGAGAACGGCATTCTTTTTCCACTATGTCCATTATATACAATATGGTTATTATGTACTTGCAATATTTGACTTTATCTGTCAATATCATACTGCTTCTGTGTTTCACTCAACTTTACTCTGGACATATATACACAAATATACATACAGGAAATCTTTAAGTTAATATGTGACTAGCAACTGTACATAATGTATTTTGCATTTTGATACACAAAATTGTACTTAACGGGGAAAATGCTATGTAAATGTAAAGCATTATGCAAATACTAGCTGTCATCATTTTAGCATTTAAAATTTTATGAGGAAATGGTCTAATTTGCATTACAAATGTGAAGTCGGTTCTATCTTTAAGTATCCAACAACTATAAAATAGATGCTTATATAAAGCAGGCAGAAATATTAAAATTACTTCCTTTACGGGGGATTTTTTTATTAATATCTTTACAAATGCCCAACTTAACTATACCAAAGCATTTTTCAAATCTCTCCTTTAGGAAATTCAGCAGGGGAAAGGTCTCTGACAGGGTAGAGACAGAAATAATCAATGTTTCTATGTGGCTTTGCCTTTGCAAAACTCTAGAACAATTATAATATTAACAAACATTTGACAAGTGCACCTGTTCATTGACTCTGGAATGTGATGGTCCGTGATGAATAAGAATCTTCACAATCTCCACATCTCCTTTCCAGGCAGCCAGGTGAATAGGAAAATAACCTTTGTTGTCTGCTACATTTGTTGATGCCTCATATTGAAGTAGTTTAAGAACTATGTCCCTAAGAAGGAAAAACAAAACAAAACAACACACACACACAATAGAAAAGAAAACATGCTGAACAACGCAGATTTTATTAAACAGAAAATTATGAAAGTATATGAGATGCTGGGTGGCATTTTAGAGTAATTATTCAAGGTACTGAGACATAAAATCAGGTTTAAGAGTTTGTTTATTCAGTATTTGGCTATTATACTTACCCGGAAAAGCATCACCACCACACATATACACACAGAGCATTGATTAACCAATGAAACTACTTAATAGAATTCATTTGGGTAAAATTTATGTAATTTCATTAATTGAATGAAATAACTAAAATATTTTTAAAAGATACCTCTTCTCATTTCTTTTTAAAAAAGAAGTTCTTCCCAGATAGTCCATACCTGAAATTTAATCTGAAGGAAAAGCTGAGGTACAAACTCCTTGTTTACAAAAAATCCTCTTTTTTTTGCCATACTACCAAGAGACATTTAGGGAGTTTATTCATCATTCCTATAGGGACCTGGAATAAGGAATTGAAGATGCATCTAAAAAAGAAGGCAGACACCACAGTAAGGAAGGAACCCAGATAACCTTGCTGCGGTAAAAGTCCAAGGATGGAAAAAAAAACAGTTTAATAACTTTTCAGCCACGGCACACACATACTTTGCATGTGTACTGTTCATACTTCTGCACATCTTCCCCTTTCTCCTCCAAGCCTAAGAAATGACATCAAGAGGGATACTCGTTTATGAGACAAGTTTCCACCATTGATACAATGGCAATACATATTCAACATATCCTTCCTAACGCATTTTGTGCTCAATCTCTAACATGTTTTCAAACTAAAAATTCTGAACTACAATACACAACCTCAAGAGAAATTCATTAATAATTATTAGTATAAATCATACTGAACTTTGTTTCAAACAATCAAAAACAGCAATTCTAAACAAAAACTTATATTTTCACTTATATTGAGTGAAATATTGTATTTTCACTTATATACGCTTAAGGAGCAAATTCTATTAATTCACTACATGAAATTCCTAGACAGAGAGATGTACAAATACATACATACATATATATATATATATATACAATTACAATATATTCTAAAGTTGTTTCTCATAGCACAAAAAGGGCTAAATTTAAATATTTCATGAAGTCAGATTCTAAATGCTAGTAACATAAGAAAAGTTTGAGGAAGTTTGACCAAAAGTTAGAACGCTGATAGCCTACAAAAAAAAAGACATGATACAACACCAAATTGCAGCAAATGATGAAATACAATGCCCAGAAATGTGGCCTAAACTTGTGAAGAGGAGCAGAATACACCACTCCAAGATAGGCCTCTCTGGCATAACGATCATTTGAGGTTGAATGTTCTTTTAAGAAACAGTGGACAGAGGAAAAGAAACAGCAGACATAGGAAAAGCTCCAAAAACTGAGAAGTTATTCTTTTGTAAAAGTTTACAAGGGAAATCTCATTTGTAAGGGTGTCTCTCTCTCAGAATCAGAAAGAGAAGCTTTCTAAATCTCTGGAACTCTTATTAATGGAAAAGGCAACAACTTTAAATCAGCATCTTTACCTTTGTTTACTGTGCTTCTCCTGATAACTTCCCATCACTAGGTTTCCACCCAACCTCTCCAACCCCGCAACATCTTCTGTCTTAGCTGGAAATGGTATTTAAGGTGATGTCTTGGGCCATTTCTGGGAGTTCCTGTTTTCCTGAGTCTCTCTCATGTATATAGGACATACGCATGTTATTAAATTTGCTTGTTTTTCTCCTATTAATCTTTTTATTACAAGAAGGTCTCAGCCAAGTACCTAGAAGGGTGGAAGGAAAATTACTTGGAACACTGGACTTAGTTGATATATGTATGAAATCATGATTAAAAAAATAAGACTAAGTTGTAGAAATTTCCAAAGAGTGGCAAATTCCAAGGAGTCCTAAATTTTCTAATGATAAGATTTCAGAGAAAATAGGGAAAAATCTCATTTTAATATTCTTTTTAAAAACCAGTATTATGTTATAAGATCTGAATTTATAAGATTTGGATTTGAGCCCAGCTATGCAAACTATCTAACAATGTGACCCTAGAGAAATTTAGTCTCATTTTATTCAATTCTGTAAGGAACATTGTGTGCCTACTGGTCAAGACTGGTATGAGCTTTAAATGAAATTACAGAAAAGAAGCCCATCAATAAATAGTAAAGCACTATACAAATATGAATTCTTGCCCCCAAGTAAGAAAAAAAAAACCTTAGAAGTGAAAATGCTTCCAGCAAATCATCTTTGCAAAATTGAATCTGAAAATCAGAAGGACATTTAAAGGCTGTCCAGTTCCTATACTTATCACTTCCCTGCCACACAAGAGTAAATAACATAGGGCCTCCCCTTCTAAGATAAGTATCTACAATGAGGTAGAAAAAGATTCAATCCTTATGAATAACAAAAATAGCTAAAAATCAGAAGATCTGGTTTGAAGTCCAATTCTCTACTACTTACTAACTTGGTTACCTTGGGCAAATCAAATAACTTCTCTTTCAGATACTGCTCTAATAGAATTTACAGACTATATCTTGCTGCCAATCTCAAAGGGCTGTAGTGGGAATCAGATCAGAAACAGATATAACTGCAAAGTTGTATACAATCAAACACTATTCTCAAGGCAGTCTGCGGCAATGTTGAGCAATCCCAGTGATTTTTTTTAATTTAATTATTTCAGCATTTAAATAAAAGGTAAAATAATATCAAAGAAATCACAGTTAGATACTTGGATTTAAAAATATCCTACCACAAATTAGCCTTCTCCAAATTCATACATCAGAGAAAGAAAATTAATTGAATGGTTTTAATTTTATTTTTCAATGCCTAAGCAAATAAAAAAATATTCTGAAACTTCTAAAAGAATTTCCTTTCAAAGGGTAAAGAGGAAAGCTTAATGGGATCATTAATCTTATTTTCTTTTTCTCTCACTCAAACCATTCAGAATTTCATCTGTACTTTGGCTCAATTTTTGTTGACATTTTCTAATTAATGATATGTGTCAATTTTTGTTGACATTTTCTAATTAGTGAAAAGTGTTAATAAGAAAAACCACAGAGACCCAAAATGGAGTCACTTCTGCTAGGCCAACTCACCCAACAGGGACTTAATACCTAACCTAATTTCTATTTTAACCTCCCCCATAAATACAGTTTGAACAGGTCAGGAATTTTCTGACCAGCACCAGTGAGGTCATCGGTCACAAGCGCCCTCTCCTTCCCCCAAGAAGATGAAGTCCTCTGCATGATAAGACCCCCTGCTCTTCTCCCTACAGGGAAGGTGACCTTGCCTGTAATAATCCCTTCTCTTCTTTGCTGATTCCTCCTTGCCCACCCTGCTTCCTAGGAAGACCTTCCTTTTTGCAAGACTCCTCAGAGCATCTCTCTGCTGCCAGAGGGGATGCTGCATGATTCTCGAGTTAATAAAGTCAATTAGATTTCAAATGTACTTTGTTGAATTCTATTTTTTAACACAGGTTTGGTAAAACCTTATAGGGAACAATAAGATTATTATTTAAAAGGAAAGGATGAAAAGAGAGAAAGAAAGGAAAGAAGAAAAGAGAAAGGGAGGCAAAGGGGAAAAGAAGAAAGGAAAGGACAGAGGGAGGGAGGGAAGGAGTGAGTGAAAGCGAGGAAGGCAGGAGGAAGGACGCCAGGCCAGCTGGCCAGCTAACTGCTATTCAGAAGAGAGTCAAGAGAATCAAATCTCTAGTGGAAATATAAATACATGAGAAAAACAATGAAACCTCCACATTAAAAAAAAAAGAAATAGTTCTCTAACCTATCTATTAAAATTATTTATAATCATTGCTAGTGGGTTTTGTTCACTGACCATGATTTTATCCATCATTTGAAGGTAGTAATTGTCTAAACTGCAATTACAAATGACCCAAGAAATCACCAAGAGAGTACATTTTCTACAGTGTCCTGATTTGACTAAGTGGAGATGAATTGTTCATTACGAAATAATGTATTCCAGGTATAAAATGCTGCTGCATTTGTGGATTAACCAGTGTTGATAAGCAAGAGCTCCCAATAAACATATACAATAAGAGGAAGCAGGCTTAATTTGTAGTATGAAGGCTTTAGATTATATGTTGGAGGTAAAAAGAAAGCCTGTGTTCAAATCAAAAGAATAAACTGCAGGACCCTATAACATTACTTCTACGTCTAGATATCATAATGTTTATGGAAACGGTCTAGAGCTGATGGCTACAATGATAGCACCAAACTGGAAATAATGTTTCTGTGCTGACTGCTAAGGTTTGCCTGGGAAGAATAAAACATAATAACTGGTCATTACCTATGCTAAGTGAGAATAGGAAAGACAAAGGAAAAAATGTTCTTCTCTGGCTGAGGTATAGTCCATGACATTTGTTTCCCCTTCATGTATCTTTTTTTAAATCAATATTAAAATCAGCATTCCAAATGAACACACTACAAGGCAGCCCAGAAATACAAAATGTGACAGAAAAGCCAGCAAGACTTTAGGAAGCTAATGTGCAAATAGCCACAACGTGGAGATAATGTAGCATATCGGCAAAGCATTCAATTGGAACTACAGACTCTAGACACAGCCCCAACTATAAGTGGCCACTCAGTCACTTATCCAGAATGGCCTTCTTTCTCCACCTATAAAATGAGCAAAGTGCAGGGGACACAGTAGAAAACATGATCTCTAATTTTAAAAGTCCATGGGTAATTTAATACATTGAAATAAAAAAATCTTTCACTATAGATGAAAATTCAAACTTCAGAAATGCAGGATCATAGTACATCAAATTAATTCACAAATAATACTGTGGGGTAATGGCAAGATTTCCAGAATCTTCCACCTGGCTTTAGTCCATTTACATATTGATGGGTATTTAAGCTGCAGCTTCCTGAATACTCCAGTGGATCTGGGGCAAGGGCTGGAAAGAAAATGGCCATTCTCTCCTCCCCTCCATTCCTGGTATGTAATTGGA